GACACGATCACAACGCATTTTCATTGGAAGAAACAACAACACATACAATTGGGCAAAAGGTGTTAGACATGTCTGCCACGCAGGACGAAAGTGCAACGCTACAACCGATCGCTCTTTTCCACCCAAGTGGAAAGAGACTGGGCTCTAGTGTACTACTCTAATGGCGGCCTGCATGTGAATTGCTGTCCAAGTTGTTGTCGCTGGTTTATAAAAGGTAAGCGAGTTTATAAGAATGCAATTTTGATGTCAAGCTAAGTGAAGAATATAGTCTCAAATATTTTCATCTGTCTGATTGAAGTGAAAAAATAGACTCTGTGTTTTATAATGTAGAACACCGTAAACGGTAGGTCGTGCCGCATTAATTAGAGGTTTACGGCGCCCGGCATTTTCTTTCATCGCTTTTTCCATGATTCAAGGAACTCAAAGTAGTACTTACAAAATATCAGAAAAGTGCAATTGTATTTTGAAATGACTACTGATGAAATGTCTGTTTCAAAATGGGTTTAGTCACTTGTATTTGTCACCTAACATACTGTCAGCATACCACTAGACATTCGGTGCTTAAAAAATAGCAGTGGTAAGGAAAATACAGTTTGTCCCTGATTTGTATTCTTGTGTGTACTGACAACAATACCTGTGATTGGTTTAAGGTTAATCCACAGAAAACAGTGTCACTTAGGCTATGTAAATATTTGGCCAGATTGTAGTACTAATTTCAAGAGTGTAGCAGCTCTCATAAGCTTGTAATTCTCTTCATTGTTAGCAGCTGTTATTGTTTTAGGGCCAGGGGCATTGTTTCTGTTGTTTGTTCTATTGTTCTCTCAAAGGGTAGCAAGCCATTCATGTGAGACCTTACGAGAGCTGCTACACTCACTCACTCACTGCCCATTGTACCCACTGGCATGTAGGGCAGCAACATCACCCACTAATTTGGAGTGGTAATGAAAGTGTTGTTGTTTTTGTTGTTGTTGTTCAACATTTTCTATCAGTGACATGACTTTGTAGTCAATTAGCTGGACATGTTTTATTTTTTAGGACAGAGAGAGCTAACTTATTCCTAATACGTAGCTCACCATATTTAATAAAATAAGTGCTGCTGAGCTTATTAAATTTTTCTTGTCTCAAATGCAGCACATATTAGAGGGTGGGTGGCACTTATTTAAATACTGGACACGACAAAGAAATCTTTTCTTTTATTATAATGGTATATTTTCTACTTCAGTGAAAATTTTACAGTAACTAACAGAAGTGACTTTCAGCACTTTCACTTGTTCAACTTTGATCTCAACGTCCTCTTCTTGATCTAAGTCCAGTCTTCACTAGTAATGATATGGAAAATACACCACTTGGGTCCTGGATGAAATTTTGTGTGAATTTTGTGAGGTCTTGTCTTTTTCATTAAACGCTCCTGATGATAATAAATCAGAATGTTACCGGTACATGAGAAATGAGCATTTTCATATCATGACCATATGGTTGAATGACTTCCGGTTCCAGTTCTTGAATCTTTAAGCGCTATGTTATCGGTATAAACACTATTGATCACAAGACATCAAAATGTGGTGACACACTTGTTCTTTGTTCTTACCACATTTTGATGTCATCTGTGATCAATTACTGAACAGATGCACAACAACATAGAATCTATTTGCTTTTAAGAACATGTGGAGAGCTGCAGTTTCTTAATTTGTGTACAACCTCGTTTTCATCGTGCAGCTCCTTTAAAATCCGACTCTGCAACATGCCTAGCGTTTATCAGAAGGGTTGAATCCATTGTCAGACCTTAACTGCGGAGTGGCTTGGACCCAACTCGTTGAGTAGGGAGTTTTTGATTTCCAGCTCCTCCACACCTAGGTTGCCCGGCAACTAACAAAACCTTATTTGACACTTTTTTTTGCTATTTCTTTAGCAATACAGTGAAAATCTTCATCCTAACTGCAAAGTAAACAAGATTCATTGAAAGGGAGTCTAACATGTGTGTCAAGGAATGAAGAAATGTTTTTTGGCTTAAAGCAGCACAGTGCTTAAGCCGATCATAACCTGGTTTGATGGAGATGGCAATGAAGACACGACGGATGGCACACAAATGCAAATCAGCATGCAAAGAGCATGATCAAACTTGTATAGGAGAGAAGCCGTATACATGCCAGTATTGCAAAAAGGGCTTTAGCCAATCAGGAAATTGCAAGCGACATGAACGAACTCACACAGGGGTGAAGCCATATACATGCAAGCATTGTAAAAAGGGCTTTAGCCAATTAGGACATTGCAAGCAACATGAACGAACTCACACAGGAGAGAAGCCGTATCCATGCAAGTATTGTAAAAAGTGCTTTAGCCATGTAGGAAATTGCAAGAAACATGAACAAACTCACACAGGAGAGAAGCCATATACATGCAAGCATTGTAAAAAGAGCTTTAGCCAATTAGGAAATTGCAAGATACATGAACAAACTCACACAGGAGTGAAGCCATATACATGCAACTATTGCAAAAAGAGCCAATTAGAAACTTGCAGGCAACATAAAAAAACACACACAGGAGAGAAGTCATACATATGCAAGTATTGTAAAAAGTCCTTTAGCCAATCAGGAAATTGCAAGCAACATGAACGAACTCACACAGGAGAGAAGCCATATACATGCAAGTATTGTAAAAAGGACTTTAGCCAATCAGCACATTGCAAGCAACATGAACGAACTCACACAGGAGTGAAGCCGTATACATGCAAGTATTGTAAAAAGTGCTATAGCCAATTAGGAAATTGCAAGCGACACGAACGAACTCACTCAGGAAAGAAGCCGTATACATGCAAGTATTGTAAAAAGTGCTTCAACCATTCAGCAAATTGGAAGCAACATGAACGAACTCACACAATTGGGAATGCGAGAGACAGTTCTTTAAAATGCAAGCAGGATGATCAGCACTATCAACTAAGAAGACACCCTCAGGAGCTAGTTACAACTCATGGTGCGGAAAAGTCTGACATGCTGTTTTCTTTGACTGAAGAAAATTCAAGCCCAGTTGAAAGCCTCATCTGTTGGATTTGTCAGGAGGAATTTAGTAGTGAGACATATTTAATCCAACATTACGATGATCATATGAGATAAAAATAACACATTTAAGTATATGTCATTGCAAGGTATAAATCTTTCCCTTAATTTTCTTATAGTCATATTTAGTGTTTATGTTGAGCTCACTGGAACATGTCTGTTAAAGCCAAAGCAGTTCAGTTTTTAGAGGGTGCCAACTGTTTTTTGTTTTTTTTTAACTGTTGAAAAACAACAGTCTTATAGCCAGAAATAAAATTGCGTGGAATTTACCTTATGGTCACTTGGAACAAAACGTGAATCCAGGGAAGCAGTTTCGTATGTTACAGTGGGACCCGGTTAATACAGACACTAAAGCTTCATGCAAAAGTGTCAGCATTATATGGGTGTCTGTATCAATGGAGATCACAGAATAAAGGTCAAGAATACATGTTTTATCAATACCGGCACAGACTAAAGCATCTTCAATCGCTAAGTATCCAAACTATATTTAATTTCTTACCCGTACCATGAATTCACACTGATGGAGCCTGTCATTCATTTAAATGTGTAAATGTGTGGCATTAAAAAAAATTGAATTTCTCTAATACCGTTGCAAACTCAACGCCATAATTATTGATGTAACGGTGATAGTTTTGTAAACAAGTGTCATTGTAAACGGATGACTTACTCAATAGAACTAGTAACTATTGACTTGTTCACATTGCTTTATTTTATTGAGGTTTTCACGGATCAGAAGGTCTGAAGAAAACATTGTTACCGCTGTTGTGTCATATTGAAGCCCGGGGGAGCACTGCCATATATGGGCTATATAGGTATGTGCCGCTGTGAAGGGTATGGTTTTCAAGCAGTTTACTCTAGGATAGGGTATATAAATCAGA